CAGACAGCTCAGCAGCATAAGCACATGCCTGACAAATGCAAGGTCCTGAGACTGATCCTCAGTACTAAATAAATAAATAAATAATCTCTAAGTTACTTGTAGTACCTAGCCAAGGTAATGCTGTGTAAGCAGTACAATGACAGTTAAAAAGTCTACATATTCAGTATAGGCATGGAATGCTCCCCTCCCCACACACACACACATCTTTTTTTGGTCTTTTTGAAACAGAGTTTCACTCTCCAGTTCAGGCTGGCCCTGAACATACTTTGTAGACCAGGCTGGCCTTGAACTCATAGTGATCCTCCTGCCTCAGGCTCCCAAGTGTTGAAATTACAAGTGTGTATCACTATGCATGGCTTCCCCAATATTTTCAATTCACAGTTGGTTGACTCCACAGATATGAAACTCACCCCACTGTATTATAGTTATCTGAGCCTACTTTTAAGTCCTTCTTCAGTAGAATTGTAAAAGTTTATTTTTCTATTAAGTTTATTCCTAGGTTTGCTTTTCTTTATTCATATTGCTATTATGAAGACATTTTTATTACTTTTTATAACTTGTTTTCTTGATCTATTAAAAAGTTATTGATTTTCATGTTTATTTTGTAACTGTCTGTCTTTGCTAATGTTAGTGCTGATGAAATATTCCTAGCCAATGTTTTATCTTCATTTGTTAGTTCTGGAAGGAAGTTTCTCTAAGTCTCTACCTACTTTTGAACCAAAGATGAGGAGAGGATATCTCAAGCAAGAGGAACAACAAATAAAACCCATGGGCAGGATGGGGAGGTGTTCTCAGAAATGATCAGTGGGTCTGACTGGCTTGTTGTGGGTTCTATAATAGAACCATTAACTAGGTTAGTATAGTCATTAAGAGGTCATTCAGCACCATGCTCCATCAACTGGGATGGCTATTATAAAAAATAAAAGATGGAAAACTACAAATATTGGCAAGATGGGAGATGTTAAAACTTTCATTTATTGCTAAAGGAAATGTAAAATGATGCTGATATTGTTATGGACAATATAGTGGTCACTCAAAAGTTAAACATACATCTAACACATGCTTGAGCAATTCCATTTCTAGATATTTATTAGAAGGATTGAAAGTAGAGAACCAAACAGATACCTAAATATCAGTGTTTACAGCATCATTATGCTATAAAAACCAAAAGTGGGGGGAAAAAATCAAGTGTCAGTTGCTGGATGATTGGATAGAAATGTGCAAAATGCAGAAAATGGACAATTGTCCAGCCTTAAAATGAATGAAATTCTGAAATATGCTACAACATGGATGAAATTTGAAATGCTATGCTGAGTGAAATAAACCAAAAGCTAACGGATAAGTCCTGTGTGGTTCCATTTATATGAAGGATCTAGAGTAGACACATTCACAGAGACAATAGAATAGCGCTTCTCAGGTGCTGGGAAGGGAAGACTAGAAAATCACCACTTACATGGAAAGAAATCTGTTTGAGATGATGCAACTTCTGGAAATGGGTAGCAGTAATAGTCCTACAACAATGTCAGTGCACTGCACATTTGAAAAGGTTAAATGGCAAATTTTGTTATCTTTCACCACAATTAAAAAGGAAATAAAAATGTGAGGGAGTCACAATCAATTTCAGAGGTATCAGCAATGACTTTAAACAACAACTGACTTTAAAAGACCTTGTTGGAATACATCTGCAGCCTGAGAACTCAGAATAAGTAAGCTGGATTTATCCTGTGGGCACCGAGAGCCACAGAGGGTCTCTGCACAGAGACTGCAGTAAAGTGATGGCAGTGATGAAGTTTACTTTTGTTTCTGATTTTTTCAGAACTGCTTTTACCAAAATGTTACATGATTTTAAAAACAACACAGGAGAAATTATGATGAATCCCAGCCCAAGTCATATCCCAGAAGTAACCATCTTTAACTTATTCCAACTGAAGATGCTTTTACAATTTTGAAGGGTCATTCACATCTGTAAATAGTACGTTTGTATGGCCTTTTTTACCTTTGCAAGTTTAGGTATTTTTCTGTGAGTTAAAGATATGGCTCATTTGTACTACTCTCTCCTCCTCAAATGCAGTATGTCAGTGTTGTTCATGTTTATGTGGGCTTGCTTACTACCTTGGTAATGTATGATTTGACTGTTATTCATTCTTACATTAATGATAGTCAGACTCTCTGACACTGTTAAGCCCCCTTTCTGTTATTCTCCACTCTAGGACCATAATTAAGATTTGTGTTTTGTCTCTTATTTCATGCTAAAAGTTGAAAATCAGTAAACATTTGCACTATTTTGACTGTATAATTATTTTCACACACATACACACACACACAAAAAAAAAATCCAGATGGTATGTTGGTTCTATTTCCTTTATTTATATAGCTTTTGTTTTATTGCACGTTCTTAACTATCTTCTTTTCTCTTGCATGTCTGTGTGCATCACACTGTGTTCTTACAAAGACTCATAAATCAGCCAGCTGCAGCGCTTCCCCTTTTCTGCATCCCCCTTTCAGGGCATCCTGTCCACTTCCTCCGAGCTGGACTAATACACTCTAGGCCTGCCGCATAGCTTTCACGCCACATCACCCTCATTTCTCTCCAAGATTGGATTCACTGATAACAGAACCATGACTTTCGTGGCTTGGTCCATTTTTTATTTTATTTTCTTTTTCTTTCTCTGTCACATTCCTCCAATCTAATCTAGGAGGAAGAAGTGTGGGGGAGGGGTCTTCTATGCCTTAAAATACTTTTTATTCTCTCTTGGCAATTAATTGATCATTTAGATTGTTACAGAAATCTAAAATGAAACTTGCTGCACCTCAGAACTTTGAAGACATTTGTCCATTTTCTTCTAATTTGATGAGAATTCTAATGGCCATTTAATGTTTTATTGAGGACAGGATTAGTTGGGGTTTATTCCCCCTCTAGAAATTTTAGCATTTTCTTTTTATCATTGATCCTCTGAAAATTTTCAATTATATGTCTCAGTGGGAGTCTTTTTCCTTTTTACATTTCTTATGCTGGGACCTTTTCAATCTTGATAAGACCTTCATCTCTGGGAAATTTATGTTTGTTAAGCCTTCCCTTTCATCTCTGAAATGTCTTCCTAGAATTTCTATTAGTTAGATGCTAGCTATATTTGTAAGCTGGGCTCAGGAAGGTCCTGGGGATACCCAGAAAGATCACCATGGGTTGGCTGAGACATGAGGGGAAGTGGCAAGGTAAGCTTTTGCTATTTCAGGCAAACAGCTTTGGTGGAGTTCTCACTTTGGTGGGAAGCATCTTTGGTCTCCTCAGTGCACACTGGTACCTCAAGGAAAACCTTAGCTCCGTGGCCGAATTCTTGTCTAGCATGTTCTATTGCCAGCACCAATGAAAACCAAACCAAACAAAACAAAAAAAAACAACCCTGGCTTTTGTATCCTAAGCATGGAAAAAAACACCTTGGCTCGGAAAAACTGGAGACAAGTGGTAGCAACCATCTTCATCAACTATAACAGCACTTCTCACTGCCTGGGGAGTTTTTGGCCTTGTGTAGAGCTGGAATATATCCAACCCTGGTGACTTAATTCTTAAACCCACCCATAAAATCAGTGTAAATCACCAGGGACCCAGGACACACAGGAGCTCTGTGAAGGGACCTCATCAACCTTTTATTTCCCAATAAGTGACACCTAAACCATGCACACTTAGAAAAATCCCCAAGCTCCCCAGAAGAAGCTTTAAACATAGAGCTTTTGGAAAAAAAAATCACATTGTCTATGATCTGTGAAATACTGCTGTTTTGGCTCCATTTCTGCACATAAACAGTTGCCTCTCACTGCTGCACATGCCTGACAGCTCCTAAAAACATTGTGCAGAGTCAGAGAGCCAGACAGGCCACGCACAAAATATACAAGGTGTGGGCACAGATTCAAGAAATAAAAGCAGATCCCTGAGCATCGAGCCAGGAGCTGAAACTTCACAAAGCATTCTTAATGAGCCATTGTGAAAAAACAAGATTTTTGCATTTCAGCTGGAATGAAGTTCTCACCAGCAGCCTGTATCACCTTCCACAGCTTCTCTTTCATATCAAGTCAGGTTTCCTTAGCTTGCAGGCCTCCAGATAATAGGTTCTAGCTGTGGCATTCCCATTGCCTTGATCTTACCCTGAGTTTATAAGTCAGTGAATTTCCCTTTTTGTTACTGCAAAACAGGTGCGTCTCTTCACTTTTCCAACAAGAAGATGAATATCCTTAAACATATAATCTGGTGGAGCAGGAAGTCATACCATTTCCCCAGTTTGAGTTGGGCCAAATTCTGTATTTTAAAATAATTTTTTATGATGGTCAATACACTAAGGAATAGGCAATGATAAATCAAGGACTAGAAAGACAATGGCAATAAAGCTGACTCCCGAGAGTGAAGAGCATAGCAGGCAGTGTTATTTTTCAGAGTTCAGACCTCCTTTTGCTACAGTTCTCAATTCTATGGCAAAGGACAGAACTATAAACATTTTCTTGATTCTCTTCCAGATGCATTAATTAGGCATGCTTGTCTGGAGGGAAGATTCAGAAAACGTGGTACAGTCCAAGTTACACAGGGAGCAGGGGAAGAAGGGGAGGAGGTACGCAGGACAAGCAAACTATTGGGTGGGTTACCTTGGCCATCTGGAGTTCCCTGTTCTCCATATTCAAGGATATTGGGAGGCTTGGTCTGAGAGCTTGGCTCTTCGATAACACATAGGATGCTATCCTCATGGGGTCCAGACAGAGAAGGAAATGCCAACAGCATGGATGTTCTCTTCAGCAGCAGGATCCAGCCTCTCCAAGACCTGGTATCCAGACACCTAGAAAATAACAGGTTGGCAAAGAGAAAAGTGAAGATCTCTAGGAATCAGGAAGGAATTGATAAGAAAAAATTAGAAAATACATAAGTGAACCACAGCATAGAGGAAAGAAGAAAGCAGTTTAGAAGCTCACTAAGACTGCCAAGATGGTCATAATGTTTCCTGAGACCCAAAGTAAAGCCCTAGGGTCAGAAGCTCCAGGAAAAATCAGTGCACCAAGCCAGTAGTGATAACCTCCAGAAGCTCATGGCTATTGTCAACTGCAAAGACTGTGTGAGGCCTAATTCTGAAGTGATTCCTCCACACAGCAGGGAACAATTGGAGAAGGAGAAATCCAATGAAGTGCCTATCATACTTCCAGAGAGTGTTTATTCCAGTGCTAGTTTGGGAAGGGGTTGATTCTTTAAGACTAAGGCTCAGAACAACTAAAACACAACTTCACTTCAGGGTCTCCAATGTAACCTTCCCACAGTGACAGCCAGCCAGAGGAGACAGTTTCAGGACTTTAAACTAAGATTGAGAAGGACAAGCACCCTACTCTCCATGGTGAGAAGCCAGGCCTGGCTTTTGTGGCATTCTAAACAGCTGAGTCTTAAAGTGCTGGTGTTAGGTACAGCAGGCTGCTGGAGTCTCGCCCTGAGTGGGGCACAGATCAGAGGTCTGATCGCCTTCCTCATCTACCAGTGTGAGCGAGGGCACATGACCGCTGGGATGGGCTCTGCCTGAGTGACCCAGCAGAGGGGCCTCGAGGACAGGATGGGCACCTTACGCACCCACAGGCTGTAAAGCCAGATAGAGAAACCACAATTTGCTAGATTCTAAAACTGTAGATTCTAGGAAAACAAACAAACAAACAATTACTAATTGAAAAATACACAGAAGGGTTTTTTCCTTTTTGGGGCTCTCAGTTTTATGGATTTATTTATTTATTTATTTTTTAAATTTTAGGGAACGGTTTACAGGGTGTTCAGGGTCTCACTAATAGATCAGATTCCTAGTGATCCTCCTGAGTAGAGCCTCCCAAGAGCTGGGATTATAGGCATGTGCCACCATGCCCAGTCTCAATTGCTGTCTCCCTGTGCTCCAGGGGTGGGGCTGGAGGCCTGGGGGATTGAATCCCCAGTTGCCTGCTTGCATGCACTTTAATCTGCTGAGCTATTTGGCCAGCCCTGGGGCTCTCAGTTTGTTCTTTCTTTTTTCTTTTTCTTCATAAGCTTTTTGGTGTTTGGGAATTTTTCTTCTTGTTTTTTATTTTTTCCTCCTTTCTTCTCTTATCTGCCGTTTTCTGTTACTTTTTTCTAATTCTGTTAATTTCCTTCTACTCATTAATAGGATCTTTTATCTCACTTTTCTCTCCTTCAAAGAATTAAAAAAGCAAAAAGCTGGTCCTTTGAAAGATTAAATAAAATCGATAAGCCCCTAGCTAACCTCATCAAAAAGAGGAAAGAAAAAATTCAAATACAAGCAATAAGGAATGAAAAGGGTATAATTACCACAGACCCAGTGGAAATTCAGAGGATTATCAGTAGCTACTTTGAGAATCTTTACTCTCACACAATAGAAGACACAGAAGAAATGGACAGATTCCTAGAAAGGTACAAATTACCACAACTCAATCGACAAGATACAACCACTCTCGGCCGAGTTCCGGGAACCCCCAGACCCAATCCTAGCCCAGGTCCGGTGAGTGTGTGGAGAGCTTCCTGCTACCCTGCGCCGGTGGGACCAGTCCCAGCCCAGGCGCAGCGTGGGCTAGACCCTCTCCCAGCCCCTTGGGCCGCTCCCCACCACTCCACAGCACCTCCCCACCCCACCTGCCCAGTAAGAATTTTGAGGTGTTTCAGGAACCCTGGACTCAGTCTTAGCCCAGGTCCAGTGAGTGTGTGGGTCCTCTTTCCCCTACTTCACCTTGCCCCCTCCAGGCACAGCTCAGGCCTGGCATACATGCCTGGG